GCATCAAGGACATCTTCCCAGGGGTATCTATCATGGAGGTCAAGGATGCTTTGCTCGTGACTAAAAACGATTTTGATGCTGCTTGCAGTTTGCTTGCCAAAGATAAACCTATTGAGGTTTCCGACGATGAGGATGACATTCAAGAGATCAGCGCGTCAGAAATGGCTGAACCTCAGATGAGAAGAGGTCTGGCGAAACCTATCAAGTCAATCAGGGACCGATATACTTCTACTCAAAACCAGTCTACGCAAAGACCGGCTCAAGTACCAGCTCAAGCTACCACGCCACCAAAAACAAGGAAAAGACTTATGAAAGGACGTAGAGATCCAACTTCACCTGCAGCTATCTCCTCTCCTGTCAAGTCTCCAGCCAAATCTCCAGTGAACCTGGCTTCATCCCCAGTTATCTTAGATATGTCTGACGATGATTCTGATCTTGAGCAGGAGGAGGAAATCGAAGAAGATCCAATTCTTGAGGATCGACTACTCAAGTACTTGAACAAATGCACATTAGATGATCTTATTGAACTTACCAACACCACTAAGAATAACGCGCAAGCAATGTTGGACAGTCGACCTTTCAGGAGTCTTGATGCTGCGAGAAACGTGTCAAATGTTAAGACTTTGAAAAGTGGAAAGAGAAGTGCAAAAGCTCCCATGGGTGAACGTCTTGTGGAAACTGCTTTGGAGATGTTTTCTGGCTACGAGGCTGTGGATCTCCTTGTTAAAAGATGTGAGGATCTTGCAAAGCCATTGGAAGCTGAGATGGCGAAATGGGGATTCAATTCTTTTGGAACTCGCAAGGAGGGAGAAGGTATTGAGCTGGTATCTTTCGAGGATGCAGATTCTCAGCGTGATTCCGGAATTGGCACTCCAAGCAGCACTTTATCTACTAATGGCGAGAATGCCGATGAGGACAAGATCGTATCCGCCAAACGCAGAAAAGCAAGTGTCGAATTTTTGAAGAAGCCCTCGCTCATGGCAGATGAAGTTGTTCTGAAAGATTATCAAATTGTTGGCTTGAATTGGTTGAATTTGATGTACGAGCAGAACCTGAGTTGTATTTTGGCAGATGATATGGGTCTTGGAAAGACCTGTCAAGTTATTTCGTTTCTTTCGCATCTTGTCGCCACTGGTCGGACAGGTCCTCATGTTGTTTTTGGTCCTGCTGCTGTTTTTGAGAATTGGTGTCAAGAGTTCCAGAAGTTTGCTCCCAAATTGGCCATTCAACCTTATCATGGTAAGTTCAACATAAAGAGACTCGTGTGAAGTATCTGAGGGTGCATTAACTAATTAATTTTCAGGTCCTGCGGCTGAACGTGTCGAGTTGGCTGAGTCAATACTGGAGAATCGAGATGAGATTAATGTCATTGTTTCTACCTACGATATGGCTGTCAAACCTGCTGATAACAAATTTTTCCGGAAGTTGGGAGCTGATGTAAGTGTCCGACAAGGACTAATCTGATTTCAATTACTAAGTAGCCTTAGGTTCTTGTTTGTGATGAAGGTCATATTTTGAAGAATGGAGCAACTCAAAAGAATCAAGCTTTGAATAGGATTCCTGCTAGCTTTAAGCTTTTACTGACGGGTACACCTCTTCAAAACAACCTGGTCGAATTGGTTACTTTACTTGCATTCATTCTTCCAGACGTTTTCAAGGAACGAGAAGAAGACTTGAATTACATATTCAAAGCAAAGGCGACAACTCGAGATACTGATCACGGAGCATTACTTTCTGCTGAACGTATTACTCGAGCCAGATCTATGCTGACTCCGTTCGTCCTACGACGGAAGAAGCATCAAGTGTTGAAGCATCTCCCTACAAAATTATGTCGGGTTGAACGTTGTAGTTTGGAGCCAACACAAGCTAAAATCTATAACGAGCATGCAGATGCAGCGAAAGAACGGGCACGCAGGCGTCTTGAAGGTGTTAAAATGCCACCTTTGAAGTCTGAAGAAAATAATCCAATTATGCAACTTCGCAAAGCAGCTATTCATCCACTACTTTTTAGACGCCACTTTACGAATGAGAAGATTGAGAAAATGGTCGATATCCTACGAAAGAAAGAACCAGATAATTTCCCTCCTTCTGCTAAACGAATCCATCTTGTGGAAGAGATGCGCAATGCTTCGGACTTTTGGTTACACACGTGGTGTGTATTATATCCATGTATCAAATCGTTCGATGTTAAGAAGAATGCATGGATGGATTCGGGGAAGGTCTCTGCTTTAGTGGAACTTGTGACGAAATACAAGGAGAACGGGGATCGGGTTCTTATCTTCTCTCAATTCTCGCTTGTTCTCGACATTCTAGAATCTGTGTTGAACACTTCTATGATAACATACACTCGGATCGATGGTGCTACCAAGATCGACGAACGACAATCTTTGATTGAAAGATTTAGGGATGATACTGATATTACGGCTTTCCTCTTGACGACTAAAGCAGGTGGAACAGGTATTAACTTGATGTATGCCAACAAAGTCATCATCTTCGACGGTAGTTTCAATCCTCAAGATGATGTGCAAGCAGAGAATCGTGCTCATCGCGTGGGACAAACTCGCGATGTAGAAGTTGTCAGATTAGTCACTCGCGGTACCATCGAAGAAGCGATTTGGAAAATGGGAAGAAGTAAGTTGATGCTGGATGGGAGAGTGGCAGGTGAAGAAGGTGAAGAAGCGGGCGAAAAAGCCGTGGAAAAGATGTTGTTGGAAGGTGTTACAATTACGGACGAAGAAGCGGCCCCTGTTGCTGAGGGTCATGAAAACACGCCCAAGAAAAATGTGAAGGGCAAGGCGGCGGGGCAAAAACTACCGGATAGGAAGAAATCGGGCACGTTTCTCGATTTGGCGATGAAGGGGGCGGAGAAAGATGATGAGGATGAAATGCTTGTTTGAGATGATTGGCCAATAGATTGGTCGCACATGCTATGCAAGATGAGCGGATTGGATTGTTTTCAACGAGATGATCGGGTTCAATGCTAGAAGGTGATTCTGTTTGCGTCATCATATCATTTGCATTCAGTGGATCTTTTGGACTGGGGTGGCGTTCTGAGCTGTTTGGTTTGGTTTGACGAAGCATAAGACGTAATACGAAGAAGAGTTTAAGCGAGCGATATTTGGGGGGATTTGATTCATTATCTACATTTTTTGCGCGTGTGCACAAGAAAGGAGATACGTCTGTATAAGAAGTTAAGATGCATGAGCATAACGTGGATAGGGGGAAATATGTTACGGTATACATAAATTACGATACGAATTACCAGAGGAAGTGGGAAAATTAGGGGAATTAGGAGATGATAGAGAGGTAGTGGATAGATTTCAGATGGTGTGTTGGAACCCTAGTGGAGATGTGTAGATGAGAATTAGATGGAGGTAGATTAGATACCTGGGAATGGATGAATGAATATACAAATACCTAAAACTTCCATACATACCACAAGATTATCAATTGAAACGCTACTCCATAGTGAGAATCAGTCCTGAATCTCCACTCGACTATTTTATTTTAAGGAAGGTGAAAGCCGAGGCGGTATAGTTTGAGAGACAGGATGATTTGAGAGAAGTATCAGTAGTTGCGTGCATTTACGGAACGCACCTTAAACTCCAGATATTCATACTCAATGTTAACATCATTTGATTATCCTGAAAATAGATGGATGGTTTTGTTGTTTGATCCGTACAGAAATTGTGATTGAAATCAAGAGTAGATATTTGCTCAAGGTTCGCTACAACTAATTAGCCTCATCCCTAGTGGCCTTTAGTCTGTTAACTAGCTGCAAGCATGCACAGGCCAAGCACCACTTTCGACTCGGAAAAATCTCCAAGAGATCTTGGTCATTGATCTTGATATCTCGAGCTGAAGGGAATTATGTGCATACCAAAGTCGTGTATCATTTCAATATCCGACTATTAATCAACAAATCAATGTTCTTGCTTTTAGTTCAACTAGGATTGTTCCAGAGCTCATAATTATTTCATTACGTTAATCTTATTGTATGTCAAGAAGATATGGCTGTTATATTGTACATCTAAATGCTCTTCATTTCTGATGATATGGTGTGCATGTAGTTTCGTTCATCTTGAGGATGTTTGATCAATTGCACTCAAGCTTGAACCTTCACCTGGAATATATATGTATTGGATACTATTTCTTTCTTTCTTTCTTTGAATCACGTTGGATTTGGGTAGGACATGGGTAGGAAAACAATTGAATCTCCGAGTCATAATTTTGGAGAAACGTCTATTACTGACTCCGATTGCAGATGTTCTATCTTGGGCTTTCATGCCGCGCGCGATTTGACCAATTGGAACAAACCCACAGCCCTTGCAACAAGATTGCTACGCCGTGGAGTAGATTGCTTGTGGGGAAAGATTCGTGATAAAGTTATCCGCACCTGGATTAGATGCGGTTTTCTGTAGACATCATAGGGAATATCAATGTTGATGGTTGATTGTCTACACAGTTTTCTGAAAGTTCAAAATACCATACCAAGTGGCACTGTGACTGATTCGGAGAACAACTCAATCACCCGTTTCTGATCTCAAGGCATGCCTATGACGTGTGTACTCGGTACGCTTCTAGTCATCCAAACAACCACTGTGTTGAAAAGGGAGAACGGTGCGTTGCAGGGTACTACGGGATATAATCAGATGCTATACCAACTGAATATGGCAGGTTGCAATACCTCCCATGGTCGCCCCCATTAATGGTAGAGCAAACCAGGAACGTAAATACATGCCCCTGCAGATTACTGGTTCCTTACTGTCGGAACCAGGAGTTTCGTAACTAGTCCTTACGCAAGCTATGTTTCATTGATCTATTGTGCTAATTTATTCTGTTTATTAGCTATCATATAACTGGTGCGAAAATGACAACAACCTCGATACACCATTCTGCACAGCAATGGAGAGCTTGGTATCTTGAATTTGACATTATTTGGATCATTTGTTCACCTTGGATCTACAGTCTCAGGCTTGGACTAACTAGAATCAATCAGCATGAAGAATTATTCTCAAGGAGAGCTCAAAGAAGCCAGAGATTTTATTGACAATCTACAACGTGAGCATGGGGGAATCAAAAAAGAGCATGAAGGAATTCTGGAGCGTGAATTGCCTGAAGTCCTGGAGACAATCAAAAATATGCGAAGAAAGCTCGGCGCCTCGACTCAAATGTTTGTCTTTTTCATAGTCAATGGTGATTTTTCGTGTTACCTGAAAGCAATCGTGCTTTACTAACTTTTTGCAGTTTGGTTGAACAGCTCTATCAAAATTCTACTCGCTGTATCTACGAGATTATCCAAAATGCGGAAAACAACAGATACACAGCCTCAAACAAGTTACCCTTCTTGTCTTTCACTCTCCACTCGGACCGCCTCATCATAGACTCCAACGAAGATGGCTTCACCCCGGGGGACATCAAAGCTATATGTTCTATTGGCGAGAGTACTAAAGCACCCATCCAAGGCTATATTGGAGAAAAGGGCATCGGCTTCAAATCTGTTTTCAACGTTGCTCATAAAGTCCATATCCAGTCCGGGCCTTATTCCTTTGCATTTGAATATTTCAAGGAGGACTCCAAAGATTGTGGACTTGGCATGGTTACACCGATGAATGAGACCCCGCATGAGCTTCCTGATGATGTTCAAACAAGGATGGTCTTATATCTCCATGTAGATAAGGATCGAGAGGCACTGCGTCAAGATTTGCTAAATTTGCCAAACACACTACTACTGTTTCTCAAAAAACTACGGCAACTAACTGTCAAATTTGAACTTCATGATAGGGATATTCGAAAGGCTCGATTCTTTCTGACATGTCCAAACAACAATAGTCTCTCTGAAGATATAGTTCAGATTGAAACTGCAATCACGGGTCCATTCAATTATGTCAGACATGAGAGCTTCTGGGTCAAAAAGCGCCGCGTCGTCAATCTTCCTACTAATTCCGCTCGTGCCGAAATCCGTGAAGCTGAAGTCATTCTAGCCTTTCCTATTGATAAAGATCATGTACCAGTCATTGAAGAACAATATGCTTTTGCGTCCCTTCCCTTGAAAAAAACCGGGTACAAGGTAAGTCAAGCTGGAAGATGTACAATTGTTAATATTGAAGCTAACTTGAACGATAAGTTTATCATACAATCTGATTTTATTACCAAAGCCAGCCGAAATGATATTGTGGATTCTGCGTGGAATAGGCAATTACTAGAGGAAGTGATCGCAACATTCCGCAGTGCAATCAATGATCCCAATGGGTTTCTTGAGCACGACACACTTCGATACAGCTGGATCAGATACATTCCCACAACTGCTATTACAGATGAATTTTGGGGACTTCTGCAACCCCGCTTGTTTGACGAACTTTGCACCAGTAAATTCTTCTTTTCTCTGGATGGATCTCGCTGGACACCTAATCGCTTGCGGGTTTTGCAGAACGCCTTTCGAGACGAACATCGCGATCCTCTACTGGTAGATACTATTGCAGGCACAACTGCGTACATCTCAGAGTCTTACGACGCTTCTGATATCCTCATTTTGGAAAGGATGAAAGCAAGGTATCTAAGTGCCCCGGAATTTTTGCAAAGATTAAATCAAGATCTTGCCCGGACCCTTGATTCTCAGATGAAATCTACGCCTTTAGATAGCCCGTGGCATACCCATGTGGCAAATCTTCTCATTGATATAGGTCAGAATGACAGTTTTAAAAAGGAAATACAGAAATTAAAAATCATACCGCTTGACAGTGGGGCGTGGGTTCGTCCACTAAACGCGAGCATATTTCTCCCGACTTCCGGCGGTGTTGCCATACCGCAGGATCTGCCTTTAAGCTTAGTTGACGGGAAAACACTTAGAAACTTGAGTAGAATAAAGCTCTTCTCACAACTTGGAGTATCTTTGTGCTCACCAGAACGCATATTTCCCCTCATTCAACAACGTCATTTTCCTCCAGCGAGAAAATTCTCGGCCTCGGATCTCCAGGATATTCGGTTTCTTTTCTGGAACCATAGAGAGCTACCTAGTGACTATACCATTAATATGAGGCTATGGAACGGGGAAAGTTATTCTGTGGCGTCTCCCCAGAAGGATGGTTGGGTTTATTTGCCCGGATCCAAGAACAAATACGCACTAGCGAACCTGTTTGGTTCATCTGTGCCATTCGAGCTGAGACCCTCCAATAATGTCAGGTACATCGTGTCAGATTATTACCAGATTTTTGAATACTGTGGCTCTCGAAATGGGCGTACTGGCATAGAGTGGCTTCGTTCTCTTGGGATCAAAGAGACCCCGCAACTTCGTGCTAGGAACTCCAAAGGGCATCTTCAAAGTCCAGAAATGTCGGTAGAACTTAAGTATATCGCGGAAAGGCTTCCAAGATTTCTACTAGGAGTACTACAGGCAAATTTCGTACAATACAACGAGTCGGAACAATGGGATTGTTTCTTTAGACAAAAGGACGTTCCCATTCTTGCTTCGTCGAAGATGAGGAGTCTAAATTCCACGTTTCTACCCTTACCAAAGCTAAAAGCTATTGCTTCAAGTTTGGGACTAGAAGAAGGCTTCGGCTTTTTGATGGAGTTGAATGGCATATCTGAAGATGAGGTTGTCAAATGGAATTTCCTCAAGCGATTCGGAGTTGGGGTGTATGAAGATGTTTCATTTTGGCTGAGATTATTAAAGCAAGCTAGACAGAAAGATTCAATCAACCCCAATATTGTCTTCAAAATATACACAAGGCTACAAACCTATATTGACGAGTCAGATATCATAAAAATCAAGTAAGTCACCTAATGCCCAGACGTATTCTCGCATAACCCGATCAACTAATGCTTATTAGAGAAGCATTTCAAGAGGATATGATCTTTGCTCCTAGCTCCAATTCTATGGATGACTGGGAGTGGGAGTATCGTGATGATTGTGTATGGAGTGGCCCCGAGTGGTATGAACACAAGCCTCGTCTTCAACCCATCAATGAATACCAGGGACTACAAGCCTTGTTTGTAAATACTGTCGGAATTTCCGATGCTACTTTGGCCGACTTCCTAAAACATCTGGAACGTATTAAAAGTCATGACCAGGACAAATCCGAGGGCAAGTTTAACGAAGAGAAGTACAAAATCATCTTGCTGTATGATAAGCTTAACGAATTAACGGAAAATGGTAAAAGCTCAGAAGTTGAAACACTAAGGTACGTCTCTTACACAAGCTAGCAAATCGTCTTTTTCTGATTGAGCAGATCGTGTATCGAGGAAGGCAGGCTTCTTTACTACCCTCCAAACAAGTTATGGTATGCCCCATCATCGTGCGTTTGGGTCACAAAAGATATCCAGCTCCCAGAGAAGATTTCTATCGCCACCGAATACAAGAATCAACGGACATTCTTTCGGAATGTGTTAGGTGTCGAGAAGCCAAATCTAGAAATGCACATTATTGCGCTCCAGAAACGCGCTCTCGAGAACCCAGATAAGGAGGGCATTCTACGCGAGCTAAGAAACATATGCGCACTCAATCCGACTGTGGCATTACGAGACAAACTTTCCAAATGCAAGTGTTTCCCAGTATATCGACCTTCACAGGAGGTTGAATGGATGGACAGTACTGATAGCTTCGCAATTGTCGATCGTAAAGAGCATGGTAATGTTTTTAAAAACAAGATCAATGTGCTTGACTTTTCATTAGAAGAAGTTCATTCTATAAGTCAATTTCTGGTTGAACTTGGACTTGAAGGGCGATTCACATCAAGGGCCGTGAAGGAGGACACAAAAATCGAAGATAGACTCTTAAACGATGCGCTGACAAAGGATTTAAGAAGAAAAGCATATGCTATCTGTCGGTAAGAGATGTTTTCTTGAGCTGTTTCGGATTCATTTGCTAATATGGAGCTCAAGGTATGCCACTCATTACGGGAGTAACAGTTCTGGATCTGCCTATGATTTGCTGCAGACTCTTGAGGTCTTCACTAGCGAAAGCATCACTAAGGAGGTTTCCATCGTCCAGAACAAAAAGATCACATCGGTAAAAGTGCATACAGCGTTCTTACATATTGCGCAAGATAACAACCAACTTAAACTTTATGTTCCTAAGGAGCAGCGACAGAGGGAAGTCTGTTTGTCGCGCCAGCTACCCATTGAATTACTCAAGCACCTTGGAGTTCCCAACTTCCGCAGGGGAGCTGAGCTCGGCTCCATCATTAGAGCGACTAGTTCTTTTGCTATAAATGCAATTCTTGATTCAGATGGAATCATTGATGTACCTGGAATCTTTCCCTCAGAGGATTATAGCGAAAGCGAGCCATCAACGTCTGACGCTTCTCAGGTTGTTGCCAGCCCAGCCATCAATACTGATGCAGAAAGCAGAGTAACATCGCCCGAGCTTCACTACCGCGCCCGATCTTCTACCGAGGAACGCTATGTTCGAGCCCAATTCATTGATAGTTCCCTTCGGACGCTAGCTACGCCAGGCACACATACACCTGAAATACCCCCTGAGCGAACCGGCCTTTTTAATGAACTTCTAGATGCGGTTATCAAGCAAGCACGTAGCGTGCGCGGTATCCCAGCGGTCGATGGTGTTCTGATGGCACCCCTCTCTACTAATGCTCGTATCGACACTAGCCTAGCTGTTGGCTCCAATGTGGCTGGAGAAAGTTTGTTTAGAATTGGTGTAGCTGGAGAATTATTTGTACGTAATTTCGAAATGTATTTATTGGAACTTCCAAATTCGCTAATCTCATCTAGATTTTTGAGATAATGAAGAGCCTTGGCCTGCCCCTTTTCGATCTGGGAAATTGGAGAAGCACAATTCGACATCGAGTGACCGTCCACGATGACTACAAAGATATGCCTCGCTGGTGTGGCTCTGAAACATCAGATATCGTATATGAAGACCGTGAAAAAATGTTGACCTCATTGCTTATCACAAATAACTACTTTCACATTGAGGAACTCGCAAGATTAAGATTTGCAAGTTCTCCTACATATTATATCGAAGTTACAACAACACCTGGGCCACTCGATAATGCATTCTATTGTAGCCAAGGTCAATTCGACAGGATGGAAAGCATGAAGCTACAATCTGATCAGCCAGTGAACGAAGTTTGCTTGGTTGCTAGGGTTTTCAATCTTGGAGCTTCCGGTATGGGGTTTAAATTGTATGTAGACCCTGCTGGATTGCGGAGAAAAGGTCAGCTTAAGTTTACGGCGGACAAGTATGTTGTGACATCGTAAAAAGACCACAGTAAGGTAGATGGTTCAAAAGGAATTACATCATAATCTGGGAGTTTAGTAGTCGGCACGGTAGTCTAGTTCGTGGTCAAGCGTGATTGAATTTTTGAGGAGGCCGAAATTATCGCTCCACAGATACAATGTTGATAACCCTCAAGTCATTGTATTTTAGTCTAATCATTAGGCTGATTGCCCTACTGGGTGAGTTTGCAATGAGTTTGATATTTGGAGTAGAAAAAGAAAATGAATAATGAGCAATCTGATGTTGGTGACTTCTCTCAGTAGATCCCTTCCTAATTGATGGGACGTTGTAGCAATCCTCAATAGGCTTAGAGGATATATATGTTGTACCTGTCAAAATTAGTTGTACCAATCAATCACCATCATTACCGTTTTATCTTTAAAAATATGGACTTCATCTAGTCTGTACCGTCAATCGTCGTTCTTATATTATAAGTTCAATTTGATAAACACTTAACATTGTTCAACAATAATCATGGATAAGCTTACAGCCAAACGTCAGCAGAAAGCAAAGGCTCAAATCGAAATAAAGACAGACTTCGAAACATTCCTGCTTGTACCACCAGCAAAACCTCTATCTAAGGATACCGATTTTTGTGGTCTTTTTTTAGAACATAAGGTTATCTTTTTAAAGGGCTTTTAAGGATGTCGATCATTTTTAAACCTAAAAAATTGGACCCAAGAATATATCCTCAAAGAGAGGTGCTATAATGTACAACTTACAGCTTCTGAGTACAACGACAATGTCGATTTTACGTATAGATAATTCGAAAGCAAGATAACCCGTCGGGGAAGACGGGCATTCGAAGCGCGAATCTCTTAGCAATTTCCCATTTTACGTACATATGATTCGAAAGCATGACAACCTGTCGGGAAAAGAGGCATTCGAAGCGCGAATCTCTTCGCAATTCCCCACTCCACAAAATCCGTGGCACGCAGAGCTGAAAATGTGTTGATATATATACTCCACTCCTTCTTTACTTTGTCAGTCATCTACTAACGTTCATACAAAAGACTCCTTATATATCTCCTTGCCCATTCTTGAGTGTTCTTATATAGAGAGATAATTGAAAATTCGGTCAATCATCTTGCTTCATCATGTTACCTCAAGCGCAGCCAGAACCCAAAGTCGTAACCCGTACATATAAACCTTTTTCGCCGGAATTCTTTGGACAAGTTGAGGAGACTTCAGATGAGGAAAGAACTACGCATGAGGGAAATTGTCACTGTGGTGCCATTGCTGTTAGTACTCTCCTCTCAACAATACATACTACACGGAATTGTGTAGAAACTGTATGACCAAAAGCCCCTGACTAACGCCACGGTAGTTCACTGTAACCCTCAAATGGCCGTTTCCCAAATACACCGTTAATTCGTGCACTTGCTCGATTTGTACTCGTAACGGATATTTGTTAGTTTATCCTATGAGACAAGATGTTAAATTCTTAGGTGGTAAGATTGAGTTTCTTTCCTCCCCCATTCTTGCAATTTGGATAATCCTAGAAGGTATCTAACCAAGCACTAGATTCGGAGGAAAAGATGGGATCTTATAAATGGGGTCATAAAGTTGCAGATCATAGATTCTGCAAAACTTGTGGAAGCAGTGTTATGATTGATCTGCGTCGACCAGAGACGTTTGGGGAAACGGATCCTAGAAAGGATATGGTGGGCATCAATGTGAGTTTATTTTTCTTGTGATTTTTGGGATTCTACATTGGGCAATATCCAAATATGCATAGGACGTAAATATTTTGGAATTAGTGCTTCCGGAATTTTGAGTGTTGAATATAGAAAAATGCAATGGATAGAGGGTCAACTCCTCAACTTCCATGAAGCAACAAAATATTACCCGAAGGAGTGTCATCCACGATCTAACACCGAACAGGTACGAAACTTCAAGAATATCGATCTTGATGCCATGAGTTATACTTATTTCGATGGGAAGAATCTCATCTAATCTGCCAATTATCCTTATTCTGAAGCGCAAGCTGGACTCGTGTTTTAGAGCCGCGTCTGGAGGGGTTGTAAAGATCATCTCAAGGTGAGATGCTTAGTACCTTAGAACTCTTCAATAAAAGGCGCTGTATCCGTTGCCAGGTCGGGCTTATAAAATTTTATCAAATTCACAGACTAGCATCTGCAAATTATATGCAAGGAGGAAGGATGTATCCGTAAGGCGTAGCACCTACCTGTTGGTCCCTTAGACATCATGCAAATGAGTCACAAAAAGGCGTGCACAAAAGAACCACCACTTTAGTATTCCACTTTGTGCCTCAACCATACGTCAATATGCTAGATTATTGCTATTATGCATTGAAATTTAGAAGTTTGTCGGGTGTATCAGCAAATGTTATGTGCTCTGAGTTACCAACTGCTTGCGTGGCACTCTCATTCTAAGTTTTGAGTCTTCCATACTTTCTTTTACTTGAGTAGTGTCCATATAATCTGAGTCTTGTTCCATAGCATTGACTGAAGTTCCATCCCTAGCAACATCTTTTCTCGATTTCCATCTTCTGCAATCTTCACTATCAACTCAACCAATTCCCTGCCCAGATCTCTAAAAGTACACAACACCCACGAACAATGTTTCAGTCCCCTTTTGTCGACATCCTCATTATTGGCAGTGATACAGTGAGTTGAGATTTATAGCTGGTTGTCTGTTTTATGATCGTAGATATGATTATCACCAAATCTTACTAACATGCAGAAACCTTGCAATGAATGATGTGAAGCTCATGTTTAATATTCACCAGTATATTATAATGAGGAATAGACTTTAGTCCTAGTCTCCCTGTTCAATATGCCCATATGTTCTAACTTGTGTTTTCCTCATTTCATCGCACAAACCCGAGTCCCGATCTTCGACTACTGAGAACCGCATAAAGTATTTAGATATTAGAGGTTCGGTCTTATTTGTGGGCCTTTCAACCTCCTCAAAAACGTGTATATCCTCTGGCGAGGCCATTCACGCCAGGTTTAGTAGTCAAATCATCGGTTTGTTTATCTGCGACGGCGTACTCCCGACTGTGTTTGTGGTGCAGCAAGTCTTCTGCTTTATGGCTACAAATAAGATCGACTACTTTCAGTACATTTTCTTCGGATGATGGTACTCATCAACACTCATGAGAATTTACACGTATATCTTACTCTCCAAGACCCCCTTATCATAAGTTTATAACTGCAGCAAGTTGCTTCTAGCTACCGCCACACATCCCAATCCCAATCCCCTTCTCATTCATTATTCCCACCATTTCACTAACCCCCCATAAAGTAACCCAACAATTCATACCAACATAACCACAGATAGTTCCCCACTAGTCATCATATCTCGTCTCTCTCCCTTCCTCTCCTCTCCTCCATTCCATGTAATCTTACCTACTTTCCAGTAAATCATAAATCCTTACAAGCAATTTATCAACACACATCACTCTAATTTCTAATCTCAACCAGACTTCTCCCACCCACTATGCACTATCCTTGTCCTCTGCAAAAGAGCCACAATCTCAAAATCAACCTTCATCACCTCTCTTCATTTAATTCCTAATCCCCAATCCCCAATATCTACCTCCTCTCACCAAGAGCCACTATAACACTAACAATCTTACCAATAACTTTAACTTACCACTTACAACTTACAACTTATCACCACAAAAAAGTGCAAAAAAGTGCAAAAAAGAAACACATCCATGAATTCCAAACAAACAAACAAACAGACAGACAAACAGATGACAAATAAAGAGCTAGCGAGGTACCAAAGTAAAATTACAAGTAATATCAAGACCAAAGATAAACCCTAGTCATCGACCCGAAAGACGCCAGAAGTTAAGTCCAGAGAGACCAAGAAAAAGAGTGAGAGAATCAACGATATCGAGATGTTTTTATCGGTAATGAGTTAGGTATCTAGTGTATATTTATGCAGGTCTCAAAAATTCGTCGATATAGGAAGGTAGGTAGGTAGGTGTATAGATAGTCAATCTAGAAAGAATCCAGGACGTCGGAACGTGAACGCAAAGTAAAGCAAAGTTGAACATAACATAACCTCAGATTGTAAAAAACTATCAAATACCTAATACCTAATAAACACCCCCTTTCCTTCCTTCTCTTCCCTATCCTGTCCTTCCGTCCCAACCCTCCAAGCCATAGAAATTATCCATCTTCATTCCCTGAGAAGAAAAAGAAATCTACCGACCAAATTTAATAGGAAAAACCCCACGTGCATGATCAACACCCGGGATCCCAATCACCTTCTCGGGTACAACACTGCTGCTAGAACTCTTCACCTCCTTCTCCCCGTTAGAAATCCTCTTCGCCTCGACAATTTTTACCTCGTCAACTTTGTTGCCCTGTTCCCGTTCCTGTTCCTTCCCCTTTCCCTTCTTCTCAAGCGCCAAATAATCTATTAACTCCCCCGAACGATTAATTTTCGCCTCTTCAATCTCAAGGGGTTTCGTCTCTTTGCCATCCACCACTGTACGTTTTCCCTCCACCACCTTAACTTTCTGCACCCCCTCCCCCTTTCCAACCTCCACCCCATCAAAAACCAAATAATCCCACAACTCATTACTAAACCTCCCTTTCAAATCCCCCAATCCCCACCCCTGCTCCCTGCCAATCTCCCCAAGCACACCCCTAAACTCCTCGACTTCCTCCTTATACCCCACCTCCCTCAAGTACTCCCTCGCCCCCCTCCCTCTAATGCTCACCCCCTCCCACTCCTTCGCCCAATGAGGCCTAACATTCAACAACTCCTCTTCCCCCCCCACCCTCATCCTCCCCCTATACCCAGCCCACAAATCCACCACCTCCTGACAAAACGGCAACCACTCCTCATCCCGCACCGCATCCGGCACGCTCAGAATCTCAATACTCGCAGTCCCCCAGCGATTCCCTCTCTGCGGCGCCATGATCAGATTCGAATCTCCCATAATCCTTAGCTCGAGCGTGAGCCGCATCGGCGTTTCCGAATCGCGATAGCAGAGATTGATGATATCCCACCAGGCGCGGCGGACGATGGTGTAATCGGGTGTGGCGTTGGGGAGACAGGGGATGGGGATTTGGAATTCGAGGTCCCGGACGCGCATGTTTTGGATCTGGGAGAGAAGATGGATGTTAGTTTTAAGTTTGTGGATGTGGAAAGAAGGAGAGGGAAGAAGGAGGGAAGAAACTTACGCCGCGACGGAAATGGAGACCGTTGGGAAGTGCGGTTTTGTATTCGATTGTTTTCTTTTGTTCGAATTCGTTGAATTCGAAGGGGGGAGTGCAACCACTGTTGTTGCGAGTTAGAAATGTTTTTCTTTTTCTTCTCTCCTAACTCCTAGAACCTCCCTTCTCACCAAACCCTAAAGATCAAACCACAAAAGAGAGAAGAAGAAGAAAAAAATAAAAATAAAGACTCACTCCCAAAAGTACTCAAAATACAAGCCTGCCACCTCCCAGGCAACAAACCAAAAACCTCACTCCTCGTCAACACACTACCCACCCACCCCTGAACCCACTGCACAAAAGTATCAAACGGGCTCGGATACTCGACTGCGCCCGCGGCATCCACCGTCTCGTTCCACGTATTGACCCACGCCTGCTGACTGCGCGTAAACCAAAACCATTCGCTGTAATAGTCATTATTGGCTTTATCTTCAAATTCCTGCAGCGCGTCGGCGTATTGGGCGGGCGTCCAGGATTTGCGCAGCGCGATGGGGATGTCGGTGGGAGAGAGGGGGGGGATAGCTAGTGCAATGTCGGGTTTGGTGGGGCGGAGAATGGCGTAGGTCATGGGGGAGAGAAGAAGTGTTATGTGGGTTACGATACCGAGGAGACCGAAACAACCGGCTGCGGCGCGGAGGTGAGCTGGTTTTGTTATGGTGCGGTGGATACCGTTTGCGTCGATGTATTCGATGGCGCGAACATAGTCGGATACTGTTTGATGACGACGACCAGCGCCGTGACAAATGGGGCCGTTGACGCCACCGGCTGTGACTCTGTTTGTGTTAGTACATATTGACTTTCGCGAGTACAGCTGCGAGCAAGAATTTGCATAGAGATGAAAAAAAAGGCAGTCAAACATACTCAACAAGAATAACATCCACCGGCAAGGCCCATTTCCCATGACCCACCGCCCACCTCCTAAACTGTTCATTCGTCACCGCCGCTCCAACTCGACAAAGCATTTTCCCCTCTTCTTCCGCCGTCAAACTCAACCCCTCAATTTTTGGCGCCAACTCAATAGTCTTCAATTCATTGACATCTACCACTCCATCTCCATTCAGATCCACATCTCCTTTCTCCTCCGTAATACTCATGACATCCGGAATTTTCTCCACACTCTCCAAATTCAACAGACTGACCAGAATCTGTTTATCCTGCGAAAAAGTATTACTCCACGAATGTCTGTACCCACTACATCGAACTCTATAGCCCTCAACCTTCGCCCACTTGACGAGATTCGACAGACCTAGAACCGTCGTAGGAACAAAGGTATAAAGCGGAGTATTCTTCACACTATTCCCCCAATTATGAAACGGCGCATTTTTATGGACTTCCATGATCCGCGCTCCTCTCTCATCCTCGCAGATCCTTGGCGAATGTCCACTCCCGAGCATCGAAGCATCCCACTTCTCCGCCAGAGAAGCCACAGGATTACTCTTGAGCCACGCACCCAGATGCCCATGCTTCCCCCACAACTCTCCCACATGATCCTCCGCCTGCTGAATCAACTCGATATGTCCCCCCACCTCCTCCACAATCTCCCTCTCAATCTCCTCTCTCGCTTCCTGAAACTTCTTCCTCACCTTATCATGTACCAATTTCACCTTCTTCTCATAAGCCTTCTCCCTCACCGTCTCCTTAACCATCTCCTTGAAATGATGTTTCACCGCCGGAGACGGCGGAATATAAAATTCTCCTTTGACTCTCCCCATCCGCATAATCTCCTCCTCCTTCACATCCCCTTCATCATCCATAAACGCTCGAATCTGCGCTTGCAAACCCGGTTCGAGTTCCTCAAAGGCATGTTTGAACGTATGCGTATTTTCTAACACTCTCAGTAAACCTCGCAAATGTGTCTTGGGCTCCACATTCCGATTTCTAATATCCCAGAGTTGTTTGCGAAACAAATCGAGTTTGGTGTGTGGGAAATCATCAGCGATTTTTCCAATGTGGTCAATGATTTCTTGGAGTATATATTCTGTGCTGAGATTTTCTAGGGGAGGGACGGGGAGACTTTCAAAGTAATGAGAGACCATTGTAACTCGTTATAGTGAGAGTGAGTGTGACCTCGATCTTCTATATACTATATACTTAGTATGATATGCAGGGGGTAGATGCGAGATATGCGAGATGGGCAATTGTGAATAGCCGGTGGGGTAGTTGTTGGATTGCAGACTTAAGCGCCAGGTATATATGAAGAAAGTTTCTCAATGTAAAACAAGAAAAAAGGTTGGCTTTACAGGAATGAAGAAAGTAATGAAAGAAAACAATCTCGGAAAGAAAACATGGGGAAAATCATTTCGTATAAATAATCTTCAAGTAATCCCTCCCTCGTCTCTCAAAAGTTTTGCGCCGTTATTGAAAATGGTCCTACTAAAACCCCCCCAAACTCACATCAGATCAGGTCAGAACCGAGCAAATAGGTCAGCTATCTTCAGGCCTTATCCACCTCCCCTACATAGACGCGGGAATGCCTCACGTCAGCTACCAATCACGATCCCTATCACCATCTCAGATAATTGTCCCGTGCATCATCGTCGTACAGGTTTTCCAATTTTGTCAACTTCAATTGGTCAATCATCCAGTTCAGCTGTTTGTCTTGAACAGCCTTGTCGGAGACAATCACCAAATGTAGACACCATTTCTACACCATTTCTTCAACAATACCGCTGAGCCTCAGCTCATGCTCAGTTTTCAATATTTGGGGTCCTAATCAGGCTTTTTCATGGCTTGGAGTTATAATCGTAAAGTAACCTCCAATGCCAATCTTTACGTGTTTTGCGCTGAACGATCGATTATTTCACCCGTAACAATAATTTACTAGTCTCATTAAAAGATTCCGAAACTTGCTGAGAAGACAGTAGCTGACATGAGCCACCACTATCGTACGAAACTTACCAATTGTGTAAATTGGTGATAGCCAACGGTGATTGAAACTTCCCCATAAACTTCGGGTTTATGAAGATGAAGAAAAAGACTGTTGATAGAAATCATTCAGTAGCTCGGTCAAGACTCACCGATTGTGTGAATGGTCGAAGCGATGGGTGCCAAATTCCCAATAGCTTTCCAAGATATTGAATGAGAAAATCTTTCTTTGGATACGACTATAAACATCAGCCCAACAAATGCATGCCTCAAAATCAAACATGTCTGTACGAAATGCCAAAAGACAACTTCGTAATGCGACCTATACCCAAAATGATAATAAGAGTGGTCTTGTAACCCTCGATACCCTGGGAATAATCAAAACGCCTATACCCTCTTCCAAAAATCTCAATCCAGTCTATGATGACCCGTAATGACCAACTCCTTTCTTACCAATTTGTTTAGACCCAATGTTTCCATCAAATGACTTAACGAATATCCAATTGAAAAGGTTTAAATCGTCCTCCAATGGTAGCGCATCTTGGACATTTTCTACGTGCTCCCTGCTCCGCCATGAGAACCTCGACACACGGCTGGCATATACCACATATGCATTCTGTACATGCGTAAGATTCTTTCAGGAAAGAAACGTTTTGACAAGCAGCACAGTAGATTTGTATATTTATTGCAGAGAAGCTTGGCGATGAATCCGAGAGCCCCTGTGATCCAATATTGAAATGATCACCACTTCCACCACTTTCTACTGATGGAAAAGGTTCTGGAGCTTCAGCCTGATAAGATGGTGGAGTGAGTGCTTGTTGTAGTGGCGAAGCCTGATATCCTTGAAACTGTGATGCGGAAAATGGAGGCATTGAAGCACGATTCACTGAAACTGGGGATGGGGGAATCTGCATTTTCATTAGTATGCAAGTAAGGCCTTTTTATTTGCACGTGGGACAAACCGGTGTTCTATCATCATCTACATCTTCTGTAGCTGATGTTGCAGCATCAATCAAATCTTCCCATCGTTTGCCATAAAATGAAGGTTCGGCAGATTGAGCTTTACGATCATGACTTAAGCGTCGCAGGTGAGTATGCTCCCCACGAGATTTTTGCCTCCTGTGTTGTGGCTCTCGAGCACGCTTTGACACTGATTGTTTTCGAGGACGACCTGTGCTTGGATTTCTTTGAAGTGGAGGAAGAGTAGACGAACGTCCCGGGGGTGATAGTATAGAAGGAAGAAGATCTCTGCGACGGTGAACATTGTAATGTGAAAATGGATCGCTAGTGGGTTCGAGTTTGTTGGAATGAATTGGAGGAAGCTCTATAGAAGCTCGCATTGCTTGTTTATGAGCTTCGTGATCTGACATCCAATCCTAAATGCAACCAATTAATATTTTGCATCCTTTGTATTTGCAAAGTCAAGCTAGAAAATGAACCTACCACTTCGGATTCCCATTCATTATCCAATTTGTGATTGTGTAGCTGTGCTAAAGTTGCTGCAGCGCTAGCGGCTGGAAGCATTGAACTATCGTCCACGATTCTGGGAGTATTCGGGGTACTCGAATGATTCGAATGTTCGCCATAATAATTCTGTCTGTCGTGTGTGAAACCTGTGTACCGCATATCAGTCAAGATGCAACCAATGATTGACAATCAATTTTCTACAGACTGTTTGAAGTTGGAGCCGAGTTGGCAGTTGGTGGTTGTGGTTGCGGTCGCTCAGAGGGCGGGGTATTGATCATGAGTTGAAAGCTTTCTTCGGTCGCAGGAAGCTTTGAGATGTAATGTTCTGGATGAGCTCTTCTGATGTGCTCTTGCATGGATCGATATCGTTTTTCCTGTCCATCTCACTCGCTTGTTACCACGGATTGAACCGTACAAAAGGAAAATAAGTTCCAAAGGGGTACAGCAGATACAGCAGAGTAGAGGCACTCACGCCGAGGCAACGTTTGCGACAACTGGAGCCATCTTGATTTCTCAATGGACAAACAACTTCATTATTCGCATCTGATACGGAAAAGGACGATGTCAACGAAGAACGAGGAGGCATCGTCAATGTAGACTCGATCATTACCAGATCAAAATCGATAATGGGTGGTAATGGTTAATGGGTAGGTAGGAAGATAGGTAGATAAGATAGGTAGATAGGTACAGTATCGTCGCACTGTTGTTTCGTATCTGGAGGGGAGGGGGAAAGCGGGAATCTCTAAAAATGTATAATCTTGATAGCAAAGCTTTGCATAATTATTTAATAAGAAATAATATGTGAGGTTTAATTTCTTTTTTCTTCTTCTTCTTCTTCTTCTTATGGTTCTTAATGTGATTCTTTCCAGGGAACAAAGATGCAAGAAAGATTGAAGCTCAAAGCTATGTTTTTGCAAATGATTTCTTACAATTGATGTTTGAGAAAGAATGCGAGAGTGAGTGTGAGAGTGAGTAGTATGTAAGTAGTGGTAATCGTAGTAATAGTGGTAGTGTGAGTGTGGCACTGGAGGAATCTTTTGAGTGAGGGGTCTTTTTTTCCTTGGGTGGATTCGAAGGAAGGAAGGAAGGGCAGCAGTTGGAACTCAAAACGTAGAACTTAGAAGGAAGCTCTTTGCTCTTTGCTCTTTGCTCTTTTCTACTAGTGGGGGTCAGAGTCCAGAAAAGAGCTTCGGATAAGAGCTTTTTTCCTCTTTTTTTTTTCTTTCCATCTTTTCTATCCATGCTTGTACATACTGGGTATCTTTGGAAGTTTAGATGTCTTTACTCGATACTCAAGAGCCAATGAAAGGGGATACATCTGGAGCTTGGGAGCAACATCAGTGGAGAGCTTCTAAGGTCTAACATGGAGAACTAGGTAGGCTCGAGGTAGGTACCTTTCGATTGCTATGAACCGAGCTTACTGTGCTTGACTCCTTGTCTCCAGTGTTCCCGTTCAAGCAAACCCTTTAGTATTCGGTCTCATTTGAGTGTTTGAGTACGACCGTACTTGCTCTAGCTACCTAGTATACACACCTTACCACCTTGATTGAAAGAGCCAGAGCCAGAGCCAGAGCCATCGAACAAAACATCCAAGTAAATATGGCAAACAATACACACATACAAACAAGCTCTCTCATTCATCAATCCCACCAAACCTCCCACGTTAATTTAGTCATGGTCTCAAAGTGAAATAATATCTCATGCCACCCACTCCACTACTCTCTGTGTGTACGATATCAGCGGCAAAAGCAGGCAAATGGCCAAATATCGGACCTGGAAAAGCTACCCTTTCCATAGCTAGTCAGGTCACATACCTCATACATCCGCAAGTGCCTCGTGAGTCGTTGGGCACGATATTCATGCGACCAATGCCATCCATCGAATGCTAATAATTTTACTATCGGTGGAGAGGAGCTTGCCAAAATAAGTACCGCATCTCGCCTTTATCCAATCAGACTCGCGTGGCATACTCGTGGATGGAGCATTTCTGGTCTCTCCAAACCAATCCCTAGGAAGCAATTGACAAGTAAGAAGTCGAGGATCCAAAGTGACAAAGTTACATGATCTGCTGATCTGCCGAAAAAAAGATTTGGGTGGATTAGTCCTTCCGAATGGAGAGGTGGGAAGGGCAAGCAAGCAGCATCACGAAAATGGAATCCCAATTGGAGGAATGGAAATGGATAAGAGCTCTTGGATTTTTGGATTTTCTTTTATCTTTTATCTTTTATCTCTTATCAATTGTTGCATTGTCCTATACCCTTTTGGAAGCTATCCAAGCAACACTCGGAAGCTGGAGAACCCTGAGTACAGTACATAGCATAGCATACCTACCTAAGCTTACCGAATCTTGACTCGAATGTGCATTGAGCATGCGAGTACAACCCTAACCAGCTTAATCTGCTTAATCTGCTTTACAAGCTCCTTTCTAGAAAGACAATTCGCCAAAGGTAGCACGAAGGGAATTGAAAATGATTGATTCCACTCTAATGGATGCTTTGATGAATCATTCACATGTGAAGAATGTGTAGCTGCTTGCATATCTTTGTAACGAAGTATTTGCATTTGTAGTGTTATGGCAGTCTTATTGTATTGATTGGTCGCCGGTTACTTTGAAGGGATCATTAATTTAAAGGCCTAAGACTTGGTGCAAAGGAGATTTCTGCCAATACTTTTCAAACATTAACCAACTCCGTTTTGATGAATCAGGAGGAGATTCATGAGTCAATTGTGAAGCTAGGTTTTAACAATGCGAGGAGAATAATAAGGAGGAGAGTCGGTTAAAGAAAGTTAAGCTACTCCAAATTTGAATGTACGAGTTTTTAGCTCTTGTGCAGCTTGATACTCAAGTAGTTCGATTCAACAGTTCACTTGCAAACTGGATCCATGAATCGTCGAAACCGTTGCATTGATTTTTCATCCTGCTAGTAAAGTTGGGGTAAAGTTCGAGAAGGTCTATTCGAAGCTTTCTTAACGGCCAGTCCGAGAAGGTCTGTTCGAGACTTCGAGTTATATTGTGAACGGTAAGTTGTGAATCCGAGATGAAGGATCATTGGGATATCCTTGATGTTTTTTCATCGTCGTGTTATAGTGTTCAAAGAGTGTGTCGCATATCGTACTTAAAGAGTATTAGGGATGTCTATAGCGAATTGATGAGGTGGTAAAAGGTTAGATAGTAGATACCCTGAAAAGTATATTCAAGCAAAGATCGATTCAACTTGGAGAACGATAGCTCTTCTGTTAATGAAGGAGAAACACACATTTATAGGAAATAAGACGAGGGATGCCTAGTGCTAACGACAACTTCGGTCCTTCACCTCTTCTGAATATTTACCGTTCAATTTCTTTATATGATAACAGTAGTAAATGACGCTCCGCTGGCCCCCTGGGAGCCACTGCCGTGGAGGCCGACTAATTAGCTACAAAATATTCCACAGTAAAAATCTTCGAGCGCAGCGAGCTGTGGGGGTTTGGGGGCTTGCCCCCATGGTGAAGCCTATCAAATCTATAAATACCTATCATAATTGAACCACTTGCCGATTTGAACGAATGCCCTTCCACTCTCTAGAATTGAACTTTATCAAAGCTCTTTCTCGTACATGTACTCTCCCTCCATTCCGACCTTCATATTCCTTCGCATCATATGAGATCCGATATCGACATTCCGCCCTCACTTCTATTCATGAAGATTCGTAAATATGGTTTGTCGTGCTAAGTAGAAGAGAAATAGCACAAACACCAAAACGTTCCATCAAGATAATGCTAACTTAACACTCACTCGCGTTGATGATTTTCTTAATTATCCTGTCGATCAACTAAGTGAGGCTTGCAGTGTTTCTTTGCTGAGGCTATGACTTTCTAACCTGTTGAGACTTGATCTTCATAATGAAGCTGATACATTGTATATCTAGCAACAGCAGCTGGAGAGTCTAGATCGATATCGAAAAGTTTGTATGAAATGCTCGTTGGAAATCGGTACCTACTTCATACATATACATACACATATACATATGCTAGTCTCCTAGTACTGTATGCGTGTACGTATTCACGAAAACATTCAAACTTCAAAGCTCGCGTATCGTTCCTTCAATCGATCTTTCATCTCTTTCCCCACCAATCAAATCCACTAAACGGCAATCCAATTATTGAAACAAGGAAAGAGGAACCACTTTTCACCACAACAGCTGAAAGCTTCTTCGTCAAATCCTGCTTAAAAAATGATCGACGTCCCCAAAGCAGGTTTGTCATTAGCCATTTGGAGAGATGAAGGTGCTTATATTTCAAATGGGTTAATTATAACCGTACGGTGCTTCCGTAGAATGATCCACTTTCGAGATGTTGACTGATATCGAAGCTCGACGAAATGGTATAGATGTATGAAGTATGAGGTTTTGTTAAAGGTTTGCAAGACAATGATATATCATATACACAGTATGTTTTCGCAAAGAGTAGCTCAGTTATGATAATCGATTCAGAAAACTCTCCTCTCGAGAATAAGGGTATTGTTCGGTCAAAATGATAGGCATTCAATAGATCCAAGTACAATCATTTCTCTATCGGGTAACCTTTCCATTTTCATCCAACAAACGGGGATTTTGATGAGTTACTAGGCAGTGTGCCGCTTGGAATCTTTGCGTCCATGAACAACTTCCACATCATCCCGCATTGGATCTTCTTCCATATCCTTTCAAATATGACATCCAGTGCCCGTGTTTCGACGAGTATGTGGAATCACTTATCCAAATCAACTTGATTCATTGATTCACGACTCTGCTTCCATGTCAGAAAAATCTTTGCTACCCATCTACTCCTACAATCCGAGTCAATCTACATCTCCTTGCCGTCCTCCTTTCTCCTTTTGGCCTCACCCTCACTTTTACTTTTTGGATACTATGAGTTTTACAGATTTTCTCGATCTTCTCATAGCTCGATTTGAAGATGTCCTTGACGGTTAAGCATCTAAACAATGATGCATCATTCCTCCTGACCTTCTCGCCCATCTCCCCCTTTCCACCATCTCCAGGCGGACCTGGACGACATGAAAGCTCCTTTACTATCCTCCTCGATCCATGGATATCTGGTCCTTCTAAAATCTTCCACCACAAATTCTCAATATCTCATCTCAATTCACCCTCATGCATATCTTCTCTCACCGAACTCCCCGAACCAGATCTGGTAATAATAAGTCAAGATAAAACCGACCATTGTCACGAAGAAACTCTCAAACAGCTCTCTCCAGATGGAAGCAAGACATTGATCCTTGCAGAACCCGGGGCCGCAAAGACGATAAAACGGTGGAAATATTTCTCTCCCTCGAAAGTCGTCCCTCTTAAACGCTGGGAAGATGCTCGTCAGCGTCGCCCTGACAGTATCCTTCGATTTCCCGTACCTCCCCAATCTCAAAATGGGATCGCAGGCGAAGTGACTATTGCTTTTCTCCCTCAAAAGAACGATCTTACAGGGCTGCATAATGCAATCGGGATAACATATCGTCCACCTACCCTCTCAACATCCTTCTCCAATCCAGATGAAAACGCGTACGCTACTCCACCCTCCTCACCCAACTCCATCGCCTCTACCCTCCCCAGC